AAATGACAATATCCACCAGACTAAATAATGTTTAGTAAACGCTGTTTCAGCCATAACATTGCATGTGTCTGGAAATAGTGGTGCATGCTTGAGTGATGAGTCCGATGGTGCCGGCAACAGCAGGCAGTTGATTGCTTCACATCATCTTACAGCTCTAAGCTGTTCCTGCCTTCTACGACATCAGTGGCTTTCACCCTCCCTAATGTTGCAACCCCTTAATATGGTTCCTCATGTTGTAGTGACCCCCAAACATAAAATTATTTTTTGTTGCTACTTTGTAACTGTAATTTTGCTACTGTTATGGATCGTAATGTAAATATTTTTGAAGATAGAGGTTTACCAAAGAGGTCACGACCCACAGGTTGAGAACCACTGTGCTACATACCTCACTGGATTCTCCAGGCCTTTTCTTTATCTCTTCATTTTCTATGTCTCTGTTGGTTCCCTCACCCCACCCCAGGCCTGATGTCTCCACCAGAGCTGTTTTGTGTGATGATTGATAACCCGAATTGTCCCAAACTTTGAATGTACTTAGATCTGTTTGCACAGACGTTCAGAACTCTGGGTCCAGTCAGGTCTAGCATCTCATCTTCTGTGTGAGGTCCACACAGAGCCTCTGGGACACAGCAATGCTGACCGTGTCCCTGCGGATCTGTTTCTTCACACCCAGCTTTTATCCTGCTTTCTGAACCACCTCTAGCCTGCTCAGTCTCACTCTGTGACTGAGTGTCTCAGGGCTACTCCACCTCTCGAGACCTTCCTTTCAACCTCCTGTCCTCACTCCCCGGCTGACGACCTAGACTCTTCTTTACTGAAGAAAAAGATCATAAGCTTCCTAGACTTTGCCTGTCTCCTGCAGGAAGAACCCACAGGAGCTTTGACTATCTGGCCCTGTCTTTTTCTCACCCTCCCCAGAGGCTCACAAAGTAAGGCAGCCCAACTCAAGGCCAGTCCCTCTCCCAGCTCTTCGTCTCCCCCCACTCCCATCTCCCTTGTTCGTTACATCTGTCCAGCACTACCAACCCCTTACTCACTGCTAATTATTTTCTGTCACATAGTTGCCACCATGAAGAGCAGGAGACCATGCCCTGCCCCCATCCTCTTGACCCCATGCCCGATGCTGGGTTTAACTCCTCTGGGAAGATCTCTCTTCAGCTGTTTTGTCCATTTTGACTTTTTGTTCTTTTCATCTCAGTGAGCTTTCACTCCTCACCCACCACCACACTGAGACCGCCAGAGCCAAAGTCCATTCCGTGCCCTCCCTCATACGGAACTTGGTAAATTTGAGATTCCACTTGCCTTGATGTCTATGACCCTAAGGCCTGTATTTCTGATTTTGTTTCAGCCCCTTTTGACCACCTTTTAAATATTGGTGTTCCTACATAATTCCACCCTGAGCCACTGCTGTGAACTGTTGCCCATGTGTATACGAAGGACTTTCAAGTCTGTAGGTTCAGCCTTAACTTCTCCCCTTTTCTCCAGAGGGTCCCCCGTATGTGTCTTCTACAGGTACCTCAAATTCAACATGGTCTTGAATGAACTAACACTCCCCTTTCTAAAATTTGGTCCCCTTCCTCTGTTCTTTCTGAATTTTACAATGGTTGGCTCTGAAAGATGGTGGAGGCAAGCGTTTCAGAACCAATCTAAAACACCATAACCAAATCCCTGTTTTCTAGTAGCCACATTAAACTGTAAAACAAAACAGATGAGGTCATTAGAAATAGATTTAATGTAACCTAATTTATGCAAAGTGTCATTTCTTTATAAGCATTTGAGTGTTAAGCAGGTATTTTCAATTCTTTATTTAAAGTTTAGAAATTTAGAGTGCATTTTGCTATCACACATCTCATTCAAACTAATCATTGGAATTGGAATTCTGTCTGTGGCTAGTGATTATTGGCTGCTAACTGACACCATTCCAAATTTCCCTTCATCCAGCTGCAAGTCTGTCTGTCCTGTTCATTTTACTCTCTAGATATTTCTCCAGTAGATTAAGTTCTTTTTTTTTTTTTTTTTTTTTTTTTTTTTTTTTTTTTTTTTTTTTTTTTTACTTTTCACATTCTGAGTTTAATTTTCACACTAGTTGTTTCTCATTTGGATTATTACAACAGCTTATAAAACCTAGTTTAAGTAGGCCTTGTGGGACAGGCCTGTAATTCAGGCTGTTTAGGACTGAGGCAGGAAGCTCTCAAGTTCAAAGGCTACCTTGTCTAGAGAGTGAGTTCAAGGCTAGCTTGGTAGTTTAGTGAGACTTGTTTCAAAATAAAAACTAAGAACAATGCCGACTATGGTATTAATATAATCCTTGCTTAGCTTGTAAAAGGCCCTTAAAAATTAACAATTAAACCAAACGTGACCTCTCTGATCAAGGGAGCATTCTAGATCCATTGGAATGCTGGATATAGTGGAGCATCTACTTATATGTAGCTAGAAAAGAAAAAAAGCTCAGATTTATTAACATCTAATATACATGTTGAAGCTAATATCCTTGAACTTGGTATCCAAGAGGTCAGCAATAAAGCTATTAATATTAAGGAACTGATATATATCTCACACAAAGTTTTTGAGATAGTTAAAAATGTTTCTCATTGCCACAACATAGTCTCAAATTTATTTTTAAGTACTTTTGATATAATTGGTGAATACAGTAGACATACACATAATTTTTAAAAATATCACTTGTATTTATTCATGTGCATAAGCAGAGACCAGAGGACAAATTAAATTACAAGAATTAATTATCTGGCCATCTGGCCAGTTCAAGAATTTAAAAATAAGGATACTTATATTGAAGATATATACCCAGAATTTCTTTCTTGTATTTCCAGAAAAGTGAGATAGTAAAATCTAGCATCTCACTTCAATTTCAGGCCACCTATTTTTCTAGCCTTCACCTTTTCTTTTTAAAAGAATTTCAGAGAGAGAGAGAGAGAGAGAGAGAGAGAGAGAGAGAGAGAGAGAGAGAGAGAGAGAGGAGATGCACATGGCAGCCATAAATTAACCTTTTTTTTCTTCTGTGGAACACAAACTAACACTGTGTCATTCTACCAGGACCTAAAATTCATCAGTGGAAAGCACACCAATTATTTCACTTTATTCAGTGTCTTTGGATATAGAAGAACTCTTCCAGATCTATAATAACAAATTACTACTTTACCTACTTATGCAGCAGGCTGGCTCCAACAAGTTGGGCCATGGATTTTCTTCCATGAATGCTTTCTTCTTTAAAGAATCCTTTTTTTTTTTTTTAAGTTTAAAATGAAAGTAGCACAATGATTCTATTGTATCCTTGGGGGTCTTATAATTCAGCAGGAAATGCAGATCCAGAGAGATGTAGTTTCAATATAATCATACAGTAAGAGATGCTTTCCAATGAAGAGGGTACTTGGAACGGAGTGATAGACTCGCCTAGAGAAGAAGGTGCTGAAATAGGACCTGGAAGGTGATTCAGAAATCGGGTCACCTAGTTCATCAGATTTTTTAAAATCTGTTCTACTGAAACCTCGCCATGATCATTTGCTCTAAGGGAGACAGTTTTAATTGTATGTGTTGTATGGATATGTTCCATGGTCTTCAAACTACAGTATGAGAAAGGGTCCCCTTGGTAATATATTAAAATATAGGTCTCTGGACTTCATGTGTATGTGTTCTGATTTACTCAGAGTATGCCTGGCCTAGGCCTTTGTGGTTTTCAGAAAGCACTTGAGTGACTCTGTGTCTGGTAGGAATTGTACTTTGAGGTACACTGTCAACTTCTTTCTATAGTGTAGCATAAGAAGAAGGGGCTGAGAAACCATCTTGGTCTGGGCCCAGGTCGGATGCTCTTTGGGGATATGTAGAATCAACAAAGCCTTGAGGAGGGTGAATGGACAGTGGGGATGCTGGAAAGGAATCTATGGTCTGGACTGCAAATACGGGGAGATTTTTGAAAAATCAGCAGTGAGAACTTGGGTGTATTTCATAATTTTCCTATGGCCTTTCTTAAACTTCAACAGAGAATTTAACAGAAATATAGAGCATTTTCATCTACCTTCAGGAACCAATAGTCATTCAACAAGAAATTTAAAAAATATTTTTGGAGGTCTAGGACAGTGGATGTTTTTGAAATAGGATACATTTTAAACTTTAGGATAATGTAAAACCATATAGAACTGCACTTCTGGTTCTGAGGTAATAAAACCATCTAGCATCGAGGATATGGGAAACTATTCCATGTGTGGAATAAATTAACTTTATAACCACTGTGAGGAAGAAGGCATTTTTTCCTTAAATGCCCCTTTTAAGTTCTGTCAAACTTGTCCCCCAGTTGTTAACATTTTAGAATTTGAAAACCATTGAAGGATTTTTCTAAGATGCTGCACATTTTGCTCTATAATAAATAACAACCCGAAAGAGGTGGATAAATCCAGACCATTCAACGCCCCAAACTCCAATGTTCATCGTTTTAGCTTTCCTTCTCAATCAGCCTGATTCAGGCCCTTTAATAAGGATCTAATTGGTTGGTTGAGTTTCTGGGTTTTTTTTGGGGGGCGGGGGTTGTTTTTTTTTTTTTTTTTCCATTTGCTGACCAGTGTCTGCTCCAAGTTTTAATGAGCTCCAAGCCAGGCAGACAAATATACCAGTACCCCAGAAGCAGTGGGCCTGGAGAGTCTATCCAATCAATCCACAAAATAAGTTTTAATTGTAGCAGGACTGCCATAAATAGGCTGGTGCAGTCAGTCAGGCTGTTTCGTTTCATTCTTGTCTGTTTCAGTCAACTCTGCTTTTGCCATCCCTATGAGTCCAAGATCTTTGTTTTAGTCACCGATGGGCAAGACCTCCCCCAGTCATCTAAATGTTTGGAAGATAGACTTTCTCCAACAGCTCAGTGGAAGCTGAGTGTGTGGGGGGCAGGCAATGCTATTCTTACTGCCATTTATAATTTGTTTTTAGTCCGTCCGAGACTCCTGCTCCCCACTTACTGACACTCAATGGTTCTGCTGATGTCTGCTTTCTTGCAGGTGATTCGTAAGGGCTGGCTGACCGTCAGCAACATTGGGATCATGAAAGGAGGCTCGAAGGGCTACTGGTTCGTCCTCACTGCAGAAAGCTTGTGCTGGTATAAAGATGATGAGGTAAGCCATGGAGAGCGACAGTTCCCTGAAGTGTTTCTAATGTGAAATTAACTGTTGTTATTGCGATGCACAGTTCCAGATGCCAGTACCTCTTTTGCAGTGAGCTTTGTCTGTAAAGGTTGTTCTAAAGAGGCCTTACTTTTCTTTTTTTCTTTTTTTTTTCTTACAGATCTGTAGTTTTAGAATGTTTCCACTGAATTTCCTTTCCTGCTTCTTTCTTTCGTATAGTTCCATGTTGCTGACCCAGAGAAGTGAATTTATGGGTCAGGAATTGGAAACGGCCTTCCTTATGTTAATATTACGACACTGGTACAACAGAAACAATGCTCATTAAATAATGTCTTAGAAAGACATAAGGTACTAGAAGTGAAATGGATAAGGCACTGCTGTGAGTGAGGTGGTGTGGAAGTGTTGGCTGCAGCATCTGCCTCCAATGAAAGGCTTGGAGAACGGTGAGCTTGCTGCTCTTCATGTTAGTACCGAGTCATTACACACATTTTCTTCTTTGAGAACTTGAGATCTCTGTAAAAACATAAATGATGATAATTGTGGTGTGCTGGCTCATGTTCAACATTAATAATGTCACCCTGTGACTTACTACTTATTGTAAATCTGAGAGCTGTAAAAGCAAAGAAAAGTCACATTAGTCTTAGAGAGCCATTAAGCTGCTGTAAATTCTTCAAGCTCAATTCGGGAGGACATGGATTGAAATTGAGCTCTGTTTTGGAAATTGTAATAGCTGTGTTCTGACCAGTGAAGTCATTGGTATTTGTAACACAGCACACAAATGTTATATAAGAACGACCTTTGACAGCCGGACCATGAGCAGGTGAGATCATCCCAGTCTTATTGGCTGCAAAAGACATGTGTGTCAGAGTTCAAAGCACGTCCTCCTGTGGCCTGACAGCTTGGGAAAGCATCAGAAGATGCCTTTGTCACTTCTTGGAAGGAAAGGTTTGTGGCCCAGGGTTCTTTTCATTTCTCTGTGTCTTCTATGTGACAATGTGTTGAGAAATTTGGGATGATGGGTTGATTCCCATTAAAGATTCTGTGATAAGGAAACCCAAATTCTACAGAAATATCAGAACAAATATGCTATTCAAAGCATTATTTTCAAATTTTTATGTCACCAACCTCTGTAAAAAGTGATATTGGTTATTTTGGTGGTTTGAATAAGAATGGCCCCCACAGGCTCATCTATTTGAATGTTTAGTCACCAGGGAGTGGCACTATTTGAAAGGATGAGAAGAATTGGGAGGTGTGGCCTTACTGGAGTAAGTGTGGCCTTGTTGGAGGAAATGTGTCACTGGGGGTGAGCTTTGAGGTTTCAAAAGCTCATGTCAGGCTCAGGCTCAGGCTTGCTCTCCCAGCCTATAAATCAGGATGTAGCTCTCAGCTACTGCTCCAGCGCCTGCCTGCATTCTGTCATACTCCCTGTCATGATGATAATGGACTAAATCTCTGAAACTGTAAGCCAGCCCCCAATTAAATGGTTTTTTTTGTTATTGTTTTGTTTTGTTTTGTTTTTAATAAGAGTTGCCTTGGTCATGGTATCTCTTCACAGCAATAGAACAGGAACTAAGAGAGATGTTTTAAGAATCTGAGTATTAGCGACAGTTTCTCTCCTGTGCCTGGTGAGGCATCCTGTCATTCACTGGGAAGCTCTAGTTTAAAGATCATGGCATAAGCTCCAAGGCACTCCCCAGTATGTAAAAGAGAGTAAATGTCTTCTTTGCTGTTTAGTTACACTGTAGACACATTTCCACCTGAATATTTAGATGTTCATTTTCATATATTTACATACATTATCAGTCTTCGCACCTTTCTCAGAAACACAAGGGGAAGCAGAAGGTTTTCCTTAGGAGTCGTCCTAGTGGCAGCCAGTGTTTGCGGCATGTTAACAGACCAGCCCGCATTAGAACTTGGGGAAAGGTACTTGTACTATTCATATTTGGAGATGGGAACACTAAAACTAGCAATCATAGCCTCCATCATCAATGCAAAACACTGTTTTGGAAAGTTGTTTCAACATGATTTGGTTTAATCTTATAAAAGCTACATCATGTCCATCAGGTAACCAGCTTCCAATGGTCACAAGAGAGTTGATCAAGGTAGAAATTAGAATCCAGGATGCTGGGCTCTAAAAGTCCCAAAGGTACTCAGGGTTGTCCAAGTCCACCTTACCTCACAAAGGGTTCACTGGGATAATTTTCAGGTGACTCGGAGTTGACCTGTTTCCAGTTGTGGCTGCCATGTGCCCTTACGAGATCTAGGGAGTCATGGCTTGTGCAGGGTAGCTGTAGGGCTGGCTCTCTGGCTGCTGTGTCAACCCTGGAAGGGTAGTGAGGCATCTGATGCTCTGGGGAGGGAAGGAAGAAACCTTGAGAGCCCAGGGAGTCATATCATTGGACTTGCCCTCTTTACCTCTAAGGACTCAAGACCACTACAAAAACCACTGCAGCTGATGCTCTCTCAAGAATGCTCGTTTTATACAAACAGGAAATAAACATGTGCATCAATATTGTCTGTGTCCAGTGGACAATTTACTAAAGGTGTATGTAGAAGGACATTGAAGAAGATTGTTCATGGCCTTTCAAACAAAGGCTCACTTTTCTCCTTTTAGAGCATACCAAAAAAGAGGAAAGGACAAACAAGCTTGCTGTTATATGTAACCAACAACCAAGTAGATGCATAGTATAATGTCAAGTACCCAGTGCTCTGGAGAGAATGAAACAGAGCAAGGATGGAGAAGATATCAGGGACCAGCCTTTAGAATCAGAAAAACATCATATTGGAGTAGAGACAGGAGTGTTAAGCTGTGGAGAAGAATTAGTTGAATAGCAACCCAGCAGAGGGCATGATAAATGCAAAAGTGTCAGAGCTGGAAACTGCCAGGAAGCTTGTGACCAGAATGTAGGTATAGTGAGGGACAAAGATGCCAGGGGGCTAGGGGCTTGATCAGTCACCCCAATTATTTGGATTTTATTCCAAGGATAACTGAACGCCTCTAAAGCACTCCAACATGGTGTGACATGATCAGGTTTGTGGTTTAGAAGGATCTCTGTGGAGCTGTGTGTGATAGTCATGGTACTCTTGAAAGGTAGAGGTGGGTGGTGTGGGGATCTGTGTGAGTCCAGCTCCGACTTGCTCCCACCTATTGAAGGGTTCTTGGGTGGAAGAGAGAGGAATTAAGAAATATCAGGCAGAAAGACAGAGACATGGGATAGCTTCGGGAGGGTCCTGGGTAAATACCCAGTCGCCCATAGCTTTATTTAAAAGGGCTTTTTATAATATATCAAGGGAAGAGACAAATATTGATCCTTGCAATATCAAAGCACACCATACAGCCAAGTGTATACCCTTCCAAACACCTGGTAAACAGACCCGTGGCCAAATCATCCTATTATCCAGCCCTGCTGGGTAAAGCAAGCTCAGATTCTCTGACCCTGAGTAATTTGGGCTCCCACCAGGTGGCAAGAATAGAAAGGAGACCAGCTAGGGATCCATAGCAGACCAAGGCCAGAGATGATGATGACTTACCCTGGTTAGTGAGGAACACTGCTAGTTCAAATGGAGAGGCTGCACATAGCCCACTTAAGTCATTGGCTACTGTTACTCATTCAGAACTCTGCCCATAAAAATGATGGGAAGTTTTCATATTAGGAATGCCTGACTCAAGGATGATGACCATCTCCAAGTTGTTGGCATTGGTGGAGCAGGGCCCTCTCTAGCACCCTTTGTTCTCAACCTACTACTCCTTGGCAGCCACCACTGTCCTTCTCTACCCTGCTCCATTGGCATCCCTGACTATAGCTGCCTTCCTCTGAAGGCCATTTCTGAATGTGCAGTCAGGGCAAAAGAGAGGAGAGAGCACTGGTCCTTGCTCTTTGAGAAAGAATAAACAAGTGGTGGGGTCTGTTGGGAGCTGGAGTAGGAAGAAAGCTAAGAGACCGGGTTCATGCAGGAAGCATGAGGAGTGTGGGGCTGCACAACACACCCTGAGTATATGAATCGGCATGACACTCACCTGTGAGCATCACTGTTATAAATGATGACACTCCCAAGGGGCCTGCTGCCGTTGTTCAACTACAGGTTGACAACCTTAAAAAAAAAAATCTCCCACATCTAGAATATGCCTGTGTGAAAATAAGCTAGAGTTCTACCTTAACCGTGGAGCTAATTTGTTGAGTGGAGAGCTTAGACTGCCCCATATGTACACCAGCACTGACATACTGTGGAAACCTGATGCAGAAAAAAAAAATATTACTATTATTATTATTATTATTTTGTCAAAGAACTGTGGCAAGGGAGAGATCCTTGAATTAGCTGTAGATTCATTAATTTGTTTAATGATAATTTATATTAAATTTCAAAGAGGTGCGCGGTATCACGTGTTCTTGCCACCATCTTTCTTTTGTAATCAGGCAAGTGTGTGTTTTCATTACCACCTAAACGACCGCTTAATGAATAGATTACGTCCTGTGAATATATATGGTGTACATAACATATATTTATTTACATATAAACCTGTTTTCAACAGGTTTCTAGTAAAGACAGGTGGGTTAAGAAATATACCCATGGTTAAGGAACAGGTTCAAGGCTGTCTTTCAGGATGACACTAAGGGAACAAATGGTTGTGTAGATTTGGTGTTGTGCATAGGCCTGGGCTGGGGGTGTGGGTTTTTTGTGGCTTCCTGTACTGGGTCAAGCCATTCCACTTTTCTCCGCCTCAGCCTTCTAACTGAGCAGAGGGACCATTGCTGATCCAACCACCTCAGAGGGATTTCACAGGGCCTTCATGAATCATATGTGAGCAAGGGTCTTGCTACCATACTAGTGTGTTTATTTATGCTACTGAAAGTATCACTACAGTCTCACTGAATATGTAATGCATTCTTTGGCTAACACTTCATCTGCTTCCCAGTTCATTTTGATTATTTCATGTCATGACACCAGGTATATGGGATCTGGATTCTTCATGAAGAATGGCAAGGCTCAGG